TAGAGGGCATGGTCACGCCACAATCCCTTCTCCATTCTCTTCTCTGGATCCTGGGCATGCACACACACATACCCGGCGTGCATTTAAGCCACTGGGTCCAACACTGGAACCACGGTCGACTCTATGGGAGTCCAGTGACATAGCCATTACGCTGTCTGCTGGTCCCTGATCAAGCAGCCAATTTTAAGAGGACCCTTTTTAATTCATTGCTGACTTTTGTACACACAAGGGAATCTTACTTAGACCCTTTGGACTTAATTTTTATTCTTGAAAACTCTGCTAACTTAGTAAGGGCTAGGAACACCAACAGTTTGCTTTGGGGCTAGCTGAAGAAAACAGTATACAGACATCCCCACCACGACTACTCCCCGAAACGGTTGCCTTTTTACTGAAAGTATGAACTCATGGCTGTCAGTTCTCCATCCAGACTTTTCCAGAGTATTAGTGGACGTGCCGTGTGAGTTAGTCTGGTGAGTCCACGCTCGACTGCTCTCGGTAGGTAGACTTTTAAGTTTGGGTCACGCCATTGCTGGTAACATACATGATAAGTAAAACCCCACAGGAGGTGCAGATTATTTGCCAAATAGTAAATTAGAAGACTCCCAGAGGGCTTTTTGTTTTCAACCTTTGAGTACACATGTGACTGTTGTTAAGTACCAGCTCGTAAAGGCCCATTTTGGGAGCAGAATGCTGGCGATCGAAGTGAGAAGATTTTTTTTTTTTTTAGTGGTATTTTTGCCTTCAGTGGACAGTTCATCAATCTCACCCTGATTTTTAAGGTTGCATTCTTGGGTAGAAAGTCAGCCAGGCACTAGTTTCCAGATGTCTCTTGTACTGCGCGATGAAGGAAATTCTTTTCATCATTTGTTGTACCTTTTTTTTCCTGTTGAGCACTTTATGCTTTCTAGTCTGTCGCATTTGCGATGTAGCTTAGAAGTTCTTTCTCCTTTAAAACTGTAAGAAATAATGAATGACAATGAAAATGAGTGTGCATTATTTTGCATTTAACTAAATGTATTCTGTGGTGTGTAAACAAAATATTTGAAATGTTGCCTTTTTATAATAATACTCTTTGACCTTATTTAAGGTAATCTGCCATGAAATGTTAATGATGCTCTATTTCCAGATAAGTTTATATTTATTCTAATACTGAAGGAATTCAGCCAGCTTTGTTTCTGTCATCAGATAATAATTTCCGAAAATAGTGTGTTGAAAAATATTACTGCCTATTTCAATATTTAAGAGAGTTGTATATTTTCTATTGAACCTAGTAATAATCAAATACAAAAAAGAGTAGCTTTTTTCTTTCTTTAAAATATTAACCCTTTCAGAATAATGGAGCCAAAACAAAATCATCATTTTTCTGCCATCTCTAAATTTGAGTAGTTTCCACTGTCAATAAGTTAAAAAAAATGTTAAAGCAGTCCTTACTGTCTGCATTCCTTGCCTTGTGTGGCCGGGTGACAGCTCGGTGTTGTATTAGAAGCAGTGCTGGTTAGTGCTCTCACTGCTTTGAGTGTTATTTGTGAAGCGAGGGGATTGGCTTGTTATAAGAGGAAATGACTCAGTTATCACCACAGTCCTGAGGAAGAGC